GGGAATACCCAGACCTAAGCTGGAGACAGCCCTGTCTGTCTATCTCTCTGCCTCCCAGATCCCCTCTCCATGCCCAAAAGACTTTGAGGCTGGGAGTGGGGAGGAAGGGCAGAGGCTGGAGAAAGAACCAAGATCCCAAGATTGAGTGTTGGGGCACTCTGGTGGGCAGGAGGTGAGAGCTGGAGCCCTGCCCTGCAGCCCAGGGTAGCTTGCTCACCTGTTGATGGAAGAGACACTGGGCACTGTGTCATTGTCGCAGATGCCCTCAGCCAGGAGCCGGTCACGGATTTCCCAGGCAAACATGGTTGGGTTCTGTCGCTTGTATTCAGCAATCTTGTCCACTACTTTGGGCGTCGCCACTTTGGGCTTGGAGCCACCTATCACTCCGGGTTTGATGCTGCCAGTCTCGTAGTACCTGCGCCGGGAAGGCCAGCAGGATCAGCAAGAAGCAGCAGTGGCAGGGGCAGGGGTCGGGGTGGGGGCTGTAGGTTCCAGAGCCACTGAGCCACTCTCGTGCCCAAGGCAGCTGAGCAGAGGGAAAAGGCCCAGCTCGGCTAAGGGAGCTTCCAAAGGGAGCTTGGCTAGGGTGAGGGATGCAGAGGATAAGGAAGAGCACAACGGGGGCACTCCCTCCAGGAGGCAGTCTTGCCAGGGGCTGGGTGAACACTACCCTAAAAGGAGCCCCTGGGAGGGAAAGCCTGACCTTTCCTGTGGAAAGAGCAGAAGAAGCTGCACTTCCAGGCCCCCAGCTGGACCAGGGATGAGGCACCACCTCCAGCCCTTTCCCACTGGGTGCAAAGCCCCTGTGGGAATCAAGACCTTCCTTCCGCCTCCTCAGTGCTGACTTTTCCCCTCTTGGGTACCTGTTTTAGCTCCTCTCCCTGTTCCTCCAATCCCCCAGTCTGTATAACTCTGCTAAAAGAGCTGCCCACTCCTTTTCTGAAGACAGGAATCAGGTTGCCCCCCAGAGCTGCACAGGTGCTGAACTACCCTGCTCCAGCCTCGCTCAGGGGGCTACAACCGTCCCCTGAATGCCCCCTGGAAAGAAGCAGCTCTCCAAATACCCCGAGTCAGTCGTTTCCCTCTCCCGCTGGTATCTCCAGCTTTTAGCCAGGTCCTCAGGCTGGAGACCCAGGGCCCGCAGGGGAAGGAGGCAGGGCATCCCCCTGGGGCAGCAGCTCCGAGGCCCTCACCTGCCCAGGATTTTGCTGACACAGCCGTGGCTGACCCGCAGCTGCCGGGATATGTCGCAGGGCCGCACACCCTGGTGGGCTAGCTCCACGATGCGCTGCCTCACCACGTCGGGCAGGGGTCGGCCGTTCACAAACACCCCCCCAAGCTGGTTCACACCCCCGTGCCCTGCTGGGGAGAGACAAGGAAAAAAACACAACACCCCACACACAGCAGGGACCAGCCATTAGTCAGGGTCCGCGGCCCAGGACGTGTGAAGGGAGCAGGCAGGGCAGAGGGGCACGTTCCCGGAGTCGCGGGAGGACGGTGCCCGGCAGACCACTACGCGGAGGATAGGGGACCGGAACCCTCGGGCAGGTGGAGGCGCGGAAGCGCAGACGCTCGGCAGAGGGCTGCGAAAGCGCTCGGCTCAGACCAGTGGGGCACAAGGGAGAAAGCGAAGGAAGGAGGAATGGAGACGCAGGGCGAGCGAAACGAGGGGAGAAGGGGGGGACAGCAAAGGGGGAGTTAATGCCAGCAGGAGAGAATGTAAAAGAAAGGAGAGGCCAGGCAGAAGTCGGAACCTGCGTGGAGCGGATCCCGCCTGAGCCGCAGGCAAGATGGAGTTGTCGCTGTGTGCGGGTGCTTGAAAGGGTCTGGGTCTGGCGACTACCTAAGGGCTCCGAACGCAGAGGGGGACATCACTGCGTCCCTGGCTTCCTCAGGTCCCTGAAACTCCCCTTCTGTTCTCTACCTTTTTTCTTGCATTTCTTTTAAATTGGATGGTTTTGGGTGTTTTTTTTTTTACCTCTTTCTCTGTGTCTTTGATTTGTTCTGGTTTTTGGATCTAGAGTTTTCGTTTCCTTTATGTTTTCTATATTCAGATATTTGGGGGGTCCATTTGCCCCTCTCGCCTCCCTAGTGTCTAAAGTTCAAAGAAAGCCAGGTGGAGGAGGGAAGGCGGAAGAGGCAGGGGCCCGAAGCCGGCTGCGCTCAGAGACAGGCAGGCAGCGGTGAGCGGCGCGGCGCCGCGCGCGTATCAGCTGGAGGACGCAGGCTACCAGGGCTCGCCTGCCGCGCTGCGCCAGGCCCGGGGCCCACCGCCTCGTTCAGGTTGCCTATTACCGGTCGCCCCGGCGGGCTGAGGGTTCAAGGGGAACCCTGTGCCAGCCAGCCCCGGCCAGCTCGCGTCCTTCTGACCTCTCAGACCTTGGCAGTCGCCCGCAGCGGGGCGTTTGTTTGCTCGCTTGGCCAAGAAAAAGGCGCTGGGGCTCCACCTGGACTGCGGACTCCAGCTCGGGCTTCCGGCCTCGGAGCCCGGGTGGTTCCAGGTGATTACTGGATGCCAGGCCTGGGGGGGCTTGCTGACTCCCCATTCTCCCTGGGCTAAAGCAGTCTAGAAATCCTGCACCCAGAGCGATCAACCCGCAGCCGCAGTTACTGATCAATCGAAGCACAGAGACTTCCAGCGGCCGAGTTGGGCCGGATCGGACCATCAACCTGCAGTCCCTGCCCCACTAGCCTCAGGCGACTTTCGGCGAAAGCGGGGACATCTGCGTCCGGCTCAATTCTTTCCCTTTCCCTTCCCCTTCTGGGGGACCCACAGCACAAGCTGGCAAAACCCCTGGGGAGAGGCCTCGGAATCTGGAGGCTGGGGAAGGCCGGAACCTCTTCTTTTACTCCCCATCTCCGCTGGACTCCCTCCCTCTAGCCCCAGTCTTCACCCCTCCCCGCCCTCCAAACCCGACCATCAATAATTTAGGCCCCCGGAGAACTCGCGTTACCGGTATGAAAAGGCGGCAGCTGGGGGCAGATTAAAGATGAATAATTCAGCCTCCCCGGGCTCTGGGCCCGGCCCCTCATTCCCAATCTAAGGGGTGGGAATGGAAGGGGACACGGTGGGAGTCCAGGGATGGGGGCCGGAACCAGCGCTGAGTGGGGCCTGGGATGCGCCACTGCCACCGGCGCCCACTCCGGCTGCGGAGGCTTGCCGGCCGGTCCGCCTCCCGCCGCCCGCGCCGCGGTCTCTCCCTTCCTCCGACCACCTTCAGCTCGCCCTGCTCCCCTTTAGGTTTCAAAGTGGCACCCAGTGGGCGGCCAGGATTCGGCGGGTTCCCTGCAGGATCAGCCAGAGAAGAGAGCGAGAGCGGAGGCAGCCGGCCGAGAGGCAGGCGGGCTGGACGAAGACAGAGAGTGGAGCTCGGAAGAGGAGCCTGGATTTCTGGTTTGGCGCTCGGAGACTCGCGGCAGCCCGAGGCCCCTGGCTCGGATCTCCTGTGCTTGGATATTATTTAGGAAAATGTACTTTATCCCAGGGGTATTTTTTAAAGCTCCCCCTGTAACGCTATATATGTTTAGAGAAAAACTCTGCTCCCCCTGCTCGGCTTTCTTGTCCAAAGCACATATCCAAGCTAGTTCTAAAAAGTTTATCTCTGAAAAGTTACAAATCATCCTTAATTATTACTCCCCAAAGGAGGAGAAGTTTTTATTTAGAATCTGTTTACCTTTTTTTCCTAAAAAAAAAAAGCCCGACAAAAAATCTCTGAATTGTTTTCCAAGTTAAAGACATATGACAAAAATTAAATTAGAATTTAATTAAAATAATTCCCTTTTCTTATTTTTTTTCATTTCTTTCTTCCCCATTCTTTTTTGGTCACATCCTTTCTGCTTTCTCTCTTTTATTTCCTCCCCCGTGTTTTGATTTCTCTTTCCTTTCTCGCCAGCTTTGGTGTTTGCCTTCCTTTTGTTCTTTCCCGGCTATTTTCTCCCCCTTTGCTTACCCCCTGGCCAGGTCCGGGCTAACCCGTCCTCACCAGGGAGCGGGAGGTGGGCAAGCAGCCCCAGGCCCCGCAGCAGAGCCTTGCTCTGCCCGGGTCCCCCCTGGAAGACTCATCTACTCCATCTTTTGCTGATTTCGATTTCTCCTTGGAACATCTCTTTGTTTTTAGAGCATCTCCCGGGGAGAGGTGGAAAAAGATGACCACCACGTCCTGCCAATCTCCGACTCCCAACTCAAGGAGAAGAGAAGAAGAAACAGAGGGAAGGGAGGGTGGAAAGAAAAGAAGGGGAGAGAAGTATTTCAAACCAGCGCACAGGAAGCCTTGGCTAGGCTGGCGCGGCACCGAGAGGCTGGGAGCCGAGGGTCAGAAGGGGGCACCCCGCCCCCATACTCTCCTGCCTGATCGCCCTGACCCAGGGGCTGCGGGGTTCCCAGGCTCGTCCTGGGCAACCGCACTCCAAGTTGGAGAAAGGCAGAGGTGCGGGCGGGAGGTGGGGAGGCGAGCGGAGGGAGGGAGGCAGAGAGAAGATAGAGAAATCACAACACAACACAAACCCTGAAAACTGCCGGGCTGGGTTTGTCACCCAGCCCAGGGCAAGAAGGTGAGTAGGGAGTGGGTTCCTGGAGAGGGTGGGGTGTGGGTCCACGACTCAGGAGGAATCAGGCGGAAGGAAGGAAGGCAGGTGATGGGCACAGGAAGGTAGGAAGGCAGGTGATGGGAGAAGTGTGGGTGACAGAAGGCAGAGGAGGAGACCGAAGGCTTCAGAAACACTGGGGATGAGAAAGAAAGAAGGAAAGGGGAGACCGGGAGGAGCCAGCTTGAGAACCGGGGGTCAGGGCCGCGCCAGGAAGGACCCGGGTTGGGACGGGGAGCCCCGAACGGGAGCAGAAGCCGGGCGCCGGTACTCACGGTGCATCGCGGAGAAGGGGTCTGCTTTGCAGTGCATATCCATGGGGAGGCGGAGGAGCGGGAGCAGCGCGGCCGCCGCCGCCGTGTCGCCTCGCAAACTCAACTTCGGGACTTGAGAAGAAAAGGGAGGGACGATGGGGGTGGGGGTGAGCAGGCGCCCGGCTGCGGCAGGGCGCACCGGGGCGGGGGGCGCCGCACTGCTTTCCCGGCGGGGACTCGTCCCTGACCGGCCGGAACTGGCAACCGCAGCGCCCGCAACTTCCCGCCGTCGGGGCGCGGGGCTGGTTGGTCAGCAGGACGAACCCGAGGCGGTGGGCCGGGCGGGGGGAATCTGGGGGCGCATGGCGCGAGCGGCAGCTGCGGCCCAGGCAGAAGCTGGGAGCGGGAAGCGGCTCGCTCAGCTCCCCTGCAACCTGGTCATCGAGAGGCGGCAGTCAGAGAGGGCGAGGAGCTGGGGCTGCCCGAGGGCGCCGGGCTGGAAGTTGGGCCGCTTCAAGTGCCGGTGAGTTGGCGAAGTTGGCAGAGAAGTAGCAGTCCTCGGGATGTCTGGGCGGGCGCCCTCCGGAGGGGAGAGCGCGAGCCGGGCCCCCACCCCTGGAAAAGGCAGGCGCACGCTGCTGCGGCCAAAGGGCCGGGAGGGAGGGAGGGAGCGAGCGAGCGGCGCCGGCAGCACTGGGCTGGCCCCAGGTGGGTTGCGGCCGCGAGAAGACTCGGTCGGAGACTGGAGCCTCGGCTCCCGGTGTGTCTCTCTCTAAAAGCTGCAAAGTCCCCTCCAGACCCCCTCCCCCTCCCTGCGCTGGGAGATGGATGACTTGTCAGACAAAGGCAATAGATTCCACCACTCTGTGATTCGCCAGCGCCGGAGCCCGGAGCTTCGGCGAGGAGGGCCCCGCGCCTGTCACTCCGGTGCCGGCGAGGGGAGGGGAGGGGGAAACGGGAGGGAGGAGGGAGCGGCGGGCGAAGGAAGAGAGAGGGAGGGGAGTGGGCCAGGGGGGAGGAGGAAGGGGAGCCCGGGATTAAAACTGCGCGGAGAAACGAAACTCGCCGATAAGATAAACGTTAGATAAGGATAAAGAGCGGCCAGTCTAATGAATATTCAGACATCGGCCGGGGGCCGCGGAGCGCACAGCTCTTGGAAGCCAGGCTGGAAGTCCCAACTCACCCAGCCCTGCCATCCACCGGCCAGTGCCCGCATGGGCCACGCCGCCCGGAGCTGTGTCCGCATCCCTAGGCTTAGCTCCACTGTTCTCCGCTCTGAATTCCCTTCCGTTCCTTCCTTGCTCTTCCTTCCTCTCTTTGGTCCTTCCCTTTCCCCTTTCCCTCCTGAGGTACCTCCCCACCCACGCACCCCCCAATTCTCATTCCGGGGCAAAGTGCCTGGCAGTTAGTCCCCTCCGGTCCCACGCGCAGCTGCGTGTAGGACTCCCCTCACCTCCCTGTCCATCGGGGTCCGGGCATCCCAAAACATTCGGCTTAGAATCTAGGTGGAGACCTAAGGCGAGGACCTGTCTGCCTCAGTGGAACCCAACGGGCAGTGGGAGAGCCCGGGGACTGGGTTCCTGGACTCTGGGATGGCCCGGGAGGAGGGCTTGTGGAGGGGGACAGTGCGGAGCGACTGGTCGCCGGCGGCAGAGAACGCGGGAGACCAAGGCTGGCTCTCCCCGGCTGGGAAGAAGAGGCTGCGCGCGAGGCTGAGCGCCGCCCGCCGCCAGCTCCTCGGATCCAGAGCGAGCACAGGGGGCGCAGCGCGCCTGGCCGCCGGTCCACCCTCCGCAGCTCTCGTCCCCACTAGCTCGCTCGCACGGGTCCGCTTGCACACACCAGGCAGGAGAAGCCCTTTGTCTCCTAACTGGTTAAGTACAGAATATCCAGGAGATCTTTATGAAATATTTTCCCCCGTCTCATAAATCATCTTGGCACTTCAGCTGATGTTTTAACTCTCTCTCCCTCCTTCACTCCCTCCCCCCGCTTCCCTGGGTCTGCGAAAGGGCAGTTCAGGGAAGCCCGCGCTGCGCTCCAGCCTCGCGGACTTCGGGCTCCTCTGGCTCGTGCCTGCAGACCCCTGGCTTCAGCCGAAGCGCCGCAGACCCACGCCACTGTCCGGCTGGCCGGAGCCTTGGCGGAAGCTAAGATGAGATCACACCCGCCGGACCCAGCCAGTAGACTCCTACTGGGCCTCTTGCACCCAGGTTTTGGGGTACCTTTAATCTTCTTGCGGGGCTAGGGCCAGGCTCAGCCCGACGGGGTTTTGAGCCTCCCATTCCTTAGGGGACCGGGCCTGCTGGGATCCTAACATTGCCCTACTTGCTGGATCCTCCTGAGCCTGATCTGCTCAATCCACCTGCGGAGGAACTTTTTTTTGGGGGGGGCAAAAACCTCCCTGCCCGCCTCCTCCGGCTGGGCCCCCAGCCCTCTTCCCTTGGGTGGCCTAGCCGATTCCCTGAGGCAGGAGGTTGAAGGCGCAGGGTCCCGCCCAGAAGGTCAGTCTCTTCCTCTCGAGACCTGCAGATGGCGCTCCCGGGTTTGCTTTGGCCTCACAACCCCACGAACACGCAGTAACTTCTTGTGTGGAGTGAAAAAGGAAAACAGAGTTCTTGCAGCCTGAAAGGGAAGGTTCTCAATCCCAGGACTGGGAGTAAAACGCTCTCAGGTGGCATTAGTTGGAACAGCCTTGGGGTTTCTTCAGGGAGGCGATTAAGCCAGAATCGGGGCAGCGTGGAGCATCCAGGAAGGCTGCTTTACTGCAAGGAACTCAGACCTCACGGAGCCCTTTGCCCCGAGTCTCCCTATGGTGGTCCAGGAAGTTGTCTTGGGGAGGCTGGACTTTGGGAGAGCAAGACTGTGGGCAGAACCCCCTCCACACATAGGCTCAGACTTTTCTATAAGCAGCTGGACACCCCCCTAGGTTACACCTACGATGAGCTGTGGGTGCAGACAACAGGCATTTGCAAGAGGCAGTTTCACCTTTTGTAAAGGAGACTTAATGCGAAACTGCTGGAAGTTGTACTCACATGCCTGTCCTTCACATGTACTCCCTGAAAAGTGAAGACCTTTTCAGGATAGTCCAATTCACAGCCAGCTCCTGAGATTCTAGAACTCCACACGCCCACCCTACTTCAGTCCCTCTGGGACACTTTCTCCACCCAGCACCAGCTGGTCACTCACCCTCCCACCAGGCCACCCCCTGGCAGCTTCCTCCTTAGCTCCAGCCCATCCTGGGTGAGAAAGGCAAAGAGCCCTGGTTCTTGGGGATTGTAGCCCCGGCTCTGCCTTCTCCTAGGGCTCCAGGCTGAAGGGCTGGCCTCTCCCTCTGATGCTCTCTTTTCTGTTCTTCCCTTTCTTCTTCTATAGAGCCTAGTAGACAAGAAAAAAGCAAGAAAGAAAAAAGGGGGAAGAAGAGAGAAGAGGAAAGAGGAAAAGAAAGAGAAGGAAAGAAAACAACCCGACCCCAAACACAACCCGGGCTCCGACCTGTCAGGGTTGGTTGCTTTTCCCGTCTGCCTCTAAATGAACCTTTTCTCTCTGGTGTTTTCAAAGCGGCCCTTCCACCCCCCAACCTAGGGGCATTTACACTTCAAACAAGGCACCCGCCTCCCTGCGGAAATTTAAAGGCAAATAAACTTTTGGGGAGTTGCTCTGATACCCATCTCGGGATTTGCTTCATTAGCCGCCTCTGTGCATCTGATCTGCCCAATAAATCTTCCTTGTGGATCTCTGTTCCTTTACCTTCTCCACTCCCTGCTCTGCCAGGCTCGCCTGGCGCCCAGTACCCCCGCCCTTGCCTCCTTTCTCCGGCAAAGATGCAGCCCGCCTCAGTCACTGGCTGTCTGGAGCCTGCTCTTCCAGGGTGTGGGTGCACAGGAGATGGTGGTCTCCCTTAAGCCCCTTTTTCCTCCCTCCACCAGAGGCCCCCAAGCCAAACCAAGCACAACTAGCACCCCAAACTCCCAAATGAGTTTCTGGGCAGATTGTGCATGAAGCAGAGGGCTCGTGGAAATCCAGCCCGTTGCCCCCAGTTGCACCCGTTCCTTTTGCGATCCTTCTGCTCAGTTTCCGGTTTCCCCATCCTGGCCTAGGGCTTTTCTCCCCAGTGAGAAAAAGCAGGGGTGTCTCTGCCTCCCCTCCACAGGCAAGTCCCTGACCTGGGTCCCAGGCACCTGACCTCGATTAGTTTGGGAAGGCGGCTGGGTCTGGGGAGGGGCGCTGAAGGGATGCGAAAGCCCCCAGCCGAGCTTTGTTGGCCTGGGCCTGACTTCCTCTTTCCACTCCTGGCACCTCCCAGGGAGCGGCAAAGGGAGCCGGGGCCGAGGCTCTCAGGGAGGGGATTAGAAATTCCGAAATTAAATGCATCTCCCTAGGAGATGCTTCCCACAGTGCGGACCAAATTAAATGCATTAAGGTTCAGGGGGGAAAGAAGCTGTTTAGAACCAAGGGGGAAAAACTAGTCCGAAGGGAAGAGAAGCAGAAATGGAGGAGGGAAGAGAAAAGGGTGGTGCAGAACAGCAACTCCGCAGCTGAGCTCCTTTTCTGAATTATTCCCAGTTTTGGAAGTCATCACCACCACAAAAAAGAAAAAAGAAAAGAAGAAAAAGTTCGTCTGACAATCCAAGTTGGGGACCGCCAGCGGCCCACTCTCCCTGAGGGTCCCCGCCCATCCTGGGGAGCACACTCCGAGATCAGAGTCCAGGCAGTGGGCGCACGCATCCCGCCCCTCTCCAGCTCTCCAGACCAGCGCCCGCCAGGCCCTTTCCCCTCCTCCTCCCCATACTCTCCTGTCCCTCCCCCTTCCTAGCCCTCTGGTCACGTTGGAGGATGGGTTGGTTTTTTTTTTTTTGGAAGAGCTTCTGGTACAATATGGAGCACCATGGGCTGCAATTTCACACTCCACGGCACATTCCCCCTAAAGCTACTTTCTTCTTTTTTTTCATCTAAGACCCCCTAATTTCTGCTTCCTCTCTCCCTCCCTTGCTCCCTGTCTCCCTCCTACTCTCACTTTTCTTTTCCCGCTTTTGTTCCCAATATTTGGGCTCCCTGCATGAAGCCCCCGGGGGCCAGACTCTCGGCCTGCTCTGCCCACTGGGTCCATCGGTCCTGTGGCCGCCCAGCGCTCGCTCACGCTGCGCCTTCATCCTCCCCAGCCCCACCCCTCTTTAACCCAGCTTCTCCTCACCAGAGGTTCTAGTGATCTGCCTGGCCCTTCGCAGTCCCTTTGAAGGGAAACGACAATGCAACCCACTTGGCCACCAAAGCTGCCTCTTAGCGTCCGGGCATGCCAGGTGGCTGCCGGCCGGTGGGCCACCCGACTGTGAAACAGAAAAAATGGTCAAGCAAGGAGAAACTGGGCCAGCAGGTCTATAGGGTAGGAGTGGAGAGCTCTGTCCAACAGAGAACAAGCTCCTGAGTGAGGCAGGGGGCAGGGAGGGCAAGAGGACAAGTGAGGCTCTGGTCACAGCTGGACACCACCAGACCCTCTCCCCAGACACTCATGGACCTCTGCACAGCCAAAAGGACCACTCACTCCACAGCCCGCGGGAAGGAGCAGCAGCCATCACCTGCATAGTTCCTTTGCCTCTTTGAGCCTCAGTTTTTTCCCCTGTAAAATAGGGATAATTACACCTGTCTAGCCTACTCCGTGTGGCTAGCCAATAGGAAAGCATTTTGAAAACCAGTTGAAGGAGGAAGTGTCTTGCTTTCTGAACCCTTGACCTTGCACAAAGAGGGAAGGAAGGGATCCGAGCATTTAGGCAAGGCAGGGGATGATATTTCCCATCCACCTTCTATCCTATAAAGGTAATTAGAGGGCCCGTCACTGTCACCCCTCCTGTGTTCCTCCCTTTCGGGATTTTTTCTCCTTTTCATTGACTATGCCACATTCCGTCCACGTTTACCACTCTGCTCTCTCTCTGTCCTGCCACTCCTCCATGACCGCTTCTCTCTGCACGCTTGCCCCACTGCACCAGCCGGCTGCCAGAGGATCAGTTAAACTCCCCCACCCCCACCCTAACAGCCGGGTTAATTGTGGCCTCCGGCGCGGTCCCCTTTGGGCGAGTCTGCCAAAACCGTCGGGAGGAGGTGGCCCGTTGGCAGAGACTTGGGGAAGAAAATCCCGTCCAGTCCGGTTCCAAACAAAGAAAGTTGGTCCTCCCAGGACCCGCAGTCAACCTGCCAAAGCCAGAGCGGAGATGAACCGGTGCGGGGAGGCCTGACCAACGGGAGGCTGGAGGGGGAGAGGGGCTGGGGAGAAAAGGGCGGAAAGGGGTGCCGAGGAAACAGAGAAGACGCCTGTCTCTGGAAGGCCTGCAGAGGCGGGTTTGGGAGAAGTCCGGGCTACCACACGGCCAAGTACCCCTTCCCGGGTTCCTCCCCAAGCCGGGGGAGAGAGTCCAAGTGAGGCTGAGTGGCGGCGGCAAAGTAATGATTAACACTTTTCTCAGCCAGGCCTTGAGCCCGCAGCCTGCTGACCTGGCTCTGGTGGAGGGAGACAGTGCCAGTGGGCCCTGGACGTCCAGGGGCTATCTGTCACGGCCACCGCGACAAAGGGGGCTTCGGAGTAAGGGGACAGGCGGTAGCGAGGGGCAGCCGAAAGGGAACGGAGTGCTGGGCAGGGGGAGCGCAACTCCAGATGCCGGGCAGACCTAGGAGAGGGCCATAGCCACCCCAGTGCACAGGGAAAGGAAGGGGCCGAGGGCGGGCGCGGGCCCTGGGCTCTGCAGCGCCGAGGAACAGTCGGAGAGGGGCGGGAGAAGCCCGGCGGGCTGAGTGGTCCCACAGTTACGAGCGAGCACCAAATCTACTCTCGGATCCATCCGCGGCGCCCGCCCTCCCTTTCTCCTCTGCCAGCGGCTGTGCGGGTGTGAGGAGCAGGCGGAGAACGCGCCAGAGCCGGGAGCGGGTAAGGAAGGGGAGACCCGCCAGCGACCCCGGGAGGCGAAGGGCAGGGCCGCCGGGGGAGTGGGGGACCGGCCGCTCGGTGCAGCGAAGAGGCTGCAGACAAAGGACCGGAGCGGAGGGGAGTGCGGAAAACGGGGGGGGAGAGGGCGGGTGAGACAGGGAAAGAACCAGGGAGAGGGGCTCTCGGGGGCCGGCGGAGGTTGCTCTGCTCCTGCCGCCTCCGCCCACTCCCGCCTTGGGTCGGACGTCCCGGGGGCTCACTCCCGCTGCGGTTCCTGCTGGTGGGCCTGGGGTCGGGGCATGGGGTATTGCTGTGTCCGGCGGGGGGGGGGGGGGGGGCGTGCCATAAGTGTGTGGGTGCGTATGCGCGCGCGCGCCGGGTAGGCAGGCGGGGGAGGACTGGGGAAGGGCCTTCGCTGTGAGATGAGACCCCTGGACCGGCGGTCGCAGGCCTCTGCCCTCCGCGGTCCAGAGTCGTCCGTCCCCGAACTTGAAACAAAAGGGCTGAATAAAATCCCTCAGGAGTCGGGGCACAGGCTCTTTCTGGAAAAAGTGCTTTGGCTTGAGACTTTAAGGGTCGCATCCAGAAATACTGCTTAACTCTCGGTAACTGTTCCTGGGGTGGGCATGGGGGTGGGAGGGCAGATGCAAAGTAAATCTCGGACAGAGAAGCCTAAATCCCAGTAATTCCACCCGCCACGTCTGGACCAGCGGCGAGGTCTAGACCCGCCGCTAACGAATGTATTGAAGAAACCGACTAATGTATGGAGGAAGCCTCTTTCAATTTCTAAATCAATTAAGGAGGATTTCTTATGTGTCTCCTTGGGGGCTGAACGTCTCCCGGTGAGGGGATTGTGAGAGTGTGTGTTTGGGTGTTGTGAGGGTGTGTAAAAGGTGTTATGTGTCAGGGCTACGGGGAAGAGTGTCTAGGCAAACAGCTGTGTCCCAGGCGGGGCTGAGTTAGGAGCCCAGGACCCGTATCCGGCACCTCCCCCTCCTCCCTCTGCCTTCGGCTGAGGCTGCTCCCAGGCCAAGGCCTCCGCGGCCACTTCCAGAGGGGCCGCCAATCAATCCTGCAGGTCAACACAGCAATTAATAACAGGGTGAGGAGGCCTGGCAAAAGAGGGCGGTGAGGCGGCAGGCTGCGTCTCCCCCAGGCTCTGAGGGCTCCGTGGCGGGGCCAAGGAGTGAAAGGGGTCTCGGAGGGCAGAGAGAACCATGGGAACTCAGTGTGGGCCAGGGCCTGGGCCCAAAGTCCCAGGAGGGACAAGCAAGGGACCAGCGACGGGGAGCCGCTGGGACAGGCCGGAAGAATACAAGGGAGGACATCGAATTGTTTTTTTGGTTCTGAGGCTAGAGGTGGTGATGGCCAAAGACCACAACTGACCTCGGTGCTGATTCTCTCCTCCTCTCCCTTCCGTCCCCCTTTTCCTTTTGGTTTTCGCTCCCCTGGAAGCGGCTCAGCGACAATAAATAAAACCCGCATCCTTCGCAAACCCGGCTGCGGCGGTTGCGCCAAGGCATCTGCCAGGCACGCACGCTCGCTCGCGTGTGTCCTTGTCACTTTGAACTAGCCGGACCGGGCCGAAAGGGGCCTGGGGCCCCGCCTTGGGGACACGGCCCCCTCCCCCGCGGAGTCGTGCCCAGCCAGATGTGTGCGAGAGAGGTGAGGGGCAGAGGAGCGGGAGGGGGCGGTGAAAAGAGAAAGAGGGAAGGCGGCTCCGAGGGCCGAAGACTCCAGAGCTCGGTGGGGCAGCCTCAAGGGGAACAGCGGTTTCCTTCTCGCAGGAAGTC